TTTTTTTTTTTTTTTTTTTTTTTTTTTTTTTTTTTTTTTTTTTTTTTTTTTTTTTTTTGTTTTCGTGGAGGAGAGGAAATCTTCAAAAGACACCCAGCCGTCCGCACGACTGGGTAGTGTCGGATTCATCCCGAAGGACGCCTACCGACTAAAACCTCTCCCCCTCAGGCCGTTCTAGGGCCGCGAGGCCCTCTTCAGCCATATGTTGTACTACATATTAGTTGTTGATGATGTTCAGAAGAATATGGGCGTTGCCCAATAGATGTAGCAAGATTTCGCCTGGTGTTGTGGCACCTTTAAGTTGGTTTGCTAGGTTGATAATGGCGGTCTTGAATGTCATCAGGTCCAGTTTGTCGAAGATTGATGAATAATCACGAATATGCTCGGATCAGAAGTATGTAAGCTCGATCTCCGAATCCCCAATACGAACAATTCATGGCTGCACTGAGTTTGTGTTCCAAAGCCAGATTTGGAGTCAATTCTGAAAGACATGAAGATTTATTTGCTGGGGAACGTGCACTTCGAGAAACGTTCCAGATGAATGAAACCTTTTTCAGAGAATTTGACAATAAAAATAAGTCTCTGAATGGCAGCTAAAGTTAGTTCGTATATGGATATTTAATCAGTAATACGGAGTTACTTTTGTCTGGAACCCCAACTCTGTAGTTTTAGCAGTATTTGATTTTTCTAAAAAAAGTCAAATATCACTGCAAAAAAAATTAATATGGTAGATTAGGTTAGGTTACATTAGTTTCTTCCCCAATATTCCATTTTTTATCTTCAACTCTTTTAAGGTCCGTAAATTTCACTAAATTCAGTCCTTTTGCTGGACCATAAAGAATTCAAACAATTTTTACAAAGTAAATAAAATTGAAGTCATACACGGTAGATTTAAAAATTAATACTGAACTAAAATGTACAATTAAGAGTGAATTGGAACTTATCAAAATTGAGTTTCGAATTTGAAATGAACTTGAATTAAAACTTCAGTAATAAAATTTNGAACCGCGCACACTTCGATTTCACCACCTGCATTGACGACTGTGGCGCCATGTTTTTCGAATATAACGTCGAAACTGGTGATTTGTGATTTTGCGCACCAATATGAGATTTGTGCGTAAGTCCGAAATATAAGATGCGCTGTTGAGTGTCACGTTCACCTTATCACCGGACACGTTCGTGTTAAACAAGACTGGCCTTTTTCCGGCGATTTGAGTTGAAGACACGTTCTCTTGGCTCAGTGTGTCACACGAACTGGTGTTAAGTTCGAGTTGTGACAAATTTGTGATTCTGCTTTATCAACATTGAAGCGTCACCTACATGGAAGCAAATGCTGCTTGACTCAGTCGACTTTTTCTAATCCGGTTTTTTGTTCTTACTGTGGAACCAGCAATTGAATGGCTTTTGAGCGATTTTGTTGCATAAAATAAACAAAATTAGGACTATATAAAAACTACATTAAAACTAATTCAAAAATGATTGCACATTTGTGTGTAATAGTAAAATAAATATACTTTAGTAAGAATTTTCAATTAATTATTTCAAATTGCATTTCTGTTATTCTTATTAATTAAAGCATAATCATACAATAGGTATACTAAGTAGTAAGTAGTAACGTTTAAGTCTTTAAGTTCATTTGGTAGCTTCCACTACTTAATAGTAATATATTCATTGTTCTTATGGTTTAGAGATTTGTTTATGTTAGGATGAAGTAGACTTTTGTGTCTCGTGACACTGGTTGATTCTCTGTATTTATATTTTAGTGTTTTCTTGTGCTGTACCATGGACTCAGTGATGAAAAACTTTAATTAGTGTTGGTTTCGGGATGTTTTCTGTGTTGGATTTGAAATTTATTCTAATTATTCTGTTTTGTAATGAGCTCAGGGTTTTCATTGTGCTTTGGTATGTTCGTCCCCCCACGCTATGATGCAATAGTTAAATGCTGTGAAATAGATCATCATAAACTGTCAAAACTTGTCTAATATTCATAATCTTGATTAGTTATGTAAATATGAAGAGCAGATATCTAGTTTTCTTATAATGTAATGAATATGATTATCCTCTCTCATATGACAATCAATTATTATACTTCGGTATTTGGTGTTTATGGTTCTATTTATTTGCATTCCATTAATAGAAATGTTAAATACTTTGGCTGTACTATTTCGGTAGGCACCAAACGTCATGAGCATGAGTAACCATTCGTTGTTGTCTTAGCTTGGTAGAATAAAATTTCAGAGTATTAAAAGAAAATTTCGTGGTATGCTAAATGCAAATTTTTTAGGGCTTGTAAGAAAAATTAGAGAGATTTGAAGAAAAATTAAAAAAATATCCCACACAATTGCAAGAATAATGTTCTGTGTAGGCATACACAATAATAGAAGATTTTGTAGATGTCACATTCTGGATCTTTCTGGAAAAAGTCCGGCGCTATAAATAGTTGCCGCGAGATCGGAAGTGTTAATATGAATTCGAGTTATAGTAATGAATTAAAAATTAATTAGTCAATAGTGGGAAAGGTGTCACGACAATAATTACCGGAAAAATTGGTTAAAACAAAAAATAATGTTGAAAAGAAATGGATACACAGATGAAAGAGTTAATGAGAGAAGTGAAGGGACCGGGAGAATAGAACCAGCGACTAGCCCATGGACGTCGCCGGCCGTTTTAGTAAAAAAGAAGTATGGATTTGGAAAAAGATAGCTGCTCGTTGTCTCGGATTGACGATACCTTGGTCATATTCTAACATATTCTCAATGTTAAGCCTTATAAGTGAATACTGATAAATGAATTTGAATACTGAAGCCAAAGAGAACACGGCATTCTCAAATGGAACAGAATTGAGGTAAATTGAAGTGATGTCGTTCAGTTTATGCAACATGCCAGTTACATTTGAACGGCTCATGGAGAAAATCTTGTGGTGGTTTAACTGGGAAGACTTGCTTGGTGTACCTCGACAGCATCATTGTGATAGGAGTAGACTTCGCTGACTACATGAAGAATTTGGAATAAATTTTCCGAAGGCTTTGAGACGGCAATTTGAAATTGAGCTAAATGTATATAAGTCCTAAGCTTCCTTGGACTTCACAGATAACTGACTGAAAAAGATAACCGACTTGACAAGAAGTGCTTACGAAGTGAAACAGTTATGGACCCAATTGGATCCTATTGTTGAAGACGATGGTCTCCTGAAGTGGGTGGTAAAAAACCAGAATGGTACTGAGACACACCGCGATGTTTGGTGAAAGAAGTCCTGCAGTACTTTCATAACGGTCCTTAAAGAGGACATTTTAGTATTAACAAGTTCCTTCTACGATTTTACTAGTTCAACTGCAAGAATACCACAGGGCATTTGAGAGAATTGCCATTGAAGTCGTATAACCGTTTTTAAACTCATGATTGAAGTAAGTATATCTTAGTGGCAATGAATTACTTTATGAAATGGGTGGAAACGTACGCCTTTTCCAACCAGATAGTAGCGGACAACACCTCTGCATCCTCAATCGGATGATATGGTAAACCGAATGAACCAGAACCATTAAAAAATGCATGTCCAAGATGGTCTCCAAACATATGAGAGTGTGATCGTTATCTGCCATTGTTTTTTAGGGCATATCCATTGCCGTTCTACGAAACTACTTATTAGACACCAGCAGAAGTATTGTTTGGTCGGAAACTACGACTACAAATTTGGTTATAAACCTGGTAAGGATGTTGCTAGATACAATTACCTTAAAAAAAACGTTTGATGGCATCTACAAAGAAATACGTCCCCACATGCCAATAACTAGCGGTCATGTGGAACACTTCTACGACATGAAGGCCGCTAATGGATGTTTCCTAGAAGCAGGCTTGGTGTGACTATACAATCGATGACAAAAAGGAGTCTATCACCATAACTATAACAGCATAGGAAGGTTCATGTAAAATCGTCAAGCGAATAAATGATGTGTTCTACCGGATTATACGTGCCCCGGATGGGAAGTCAAAAGTCGTCAAACGATTGGCTCTGTATGCTGGTGATAATCACGAATATGCTCGGATCAGAAGTATGTAAGCTCGATCTCCGAATCCCCAATACGAACAATTCATGGCTGCACTGAGTTTGTGTTCCAAAGCCAGATTTGGAGTCAATTCTGAAAGACATGAAGATTTATTTGCTGGGGAACGTGCACTTCGAGAAACGTTCCAGATGAATGAAACCTTTTTCAGAGAATTTGACAATAAAAATAAGTCTCTGAATGGCAGCTAAAGTTAGTTCGTATATGGNATGGGTTTTTGTGTCTTTGGTGTCTTTGTCTTCGTCGTGAAGGCTTTGCAACCCCTGTAGCTAGCGGGGTGTGGCCCTTCGCAGTTGCGGCACTTTGCTGGTTCCTCCCTTGGCTTCGTGCACTGGGAAGAATGGTGAAGGTCTGCACATTTTACGCATCGTGGTGCCATCCTGCAGTTCTTTTGGACATGTCCAATGCGCTGGCAGCGATGGCATTGCGTGGGTCGTCGTAGATGGCGGTACATCTCAATTGAGACACGTAGATGGCAACATGTCTTTATGCCCTTGACTTTGTCCTCCATTTCTTTGGGCGCGATAATTAGGACCAGGGGAATCGCCTTGGACCGGCTCTTCATCCTATACACGGTTGTGTCGCTTATCCCTTTTCCCTCAAGGTCGTTGGAGACGTCGTCGCATGACAGCGAGGTGGGAATACCCTTCATGACGTATTTGATTGGTCGTTTCCGGTCGCTTGTATAGGTGAAGTAGTAGCAGTCAATTTTTTCCAATAAAGCTGTCAGCCTGCTGTGGTCGTCTTCGGTGCAAGGTTGTATCCTAACTCCATTTTTTGTGCTCGTGGCGTGGTCGAACTTTATGTTGTTTTGTTGCAGCTTCTTACGTATTTCGTTCCAGTCCTCGTTATAGTGTATGATCACTGGTGGGATTCTGGGTTGGTCCGTTGACTCGCAATGTAGAACTTCGAAGCTGTTCGACGTTGTAACCTT